CTGGTCCAAGATGAGGCCTTTACGGCCTGTAGTACCCCAAGGTCGGGCCTTTCGGCCCTACTGTGTCCCTCTGGCCCTAAGTCGGGTCCGGTAGGACCCGTGTGGCGTYGAAGATGTAACACAATCCCCCTCTTAAAAGACCGAGCTACSTGCGAGGGCGAAGTTGTYYGTCCGATACCGGGATGGGTCGGGTGGGACRAGCTGCTTCCTTGGCAAGGCRTCGCTTCTCATAGTCGGCGAAGATAAGGGGTGCAGAAGTSTGCAAGTCTGCACTAGAGATCCACCGAGTGTSGTCARGCGCACATTGCTTGAATGTGACTTTGAACTGCATTGGCTTGTTGCCATATTTGCGGTGCGTGATGACTCGGTCCACTTCCTGATGTCCGTCCATAGAAGGCGGATCCTGTGATCGACGGCCGGGGAACTCGTCGGTAGAAGGGGGCGTGTAGATGGCCAGCTTCGACGCGTGGAAGACCCGGTGCACTGTAAGGTGCGGAGGAATGTTGATCACGAAGGAAGGACCTGCGGGGTCGTTTCCAACGGCAGAAGTGACTTCCCATGGTCCGAACCATTTCGGAAGGAGTTTGTGCGAAACGTCCTGCTCGAGCGCAAATTCCTCGGAGAGGACCCAAACAAGGTCTCCATCGCGGAAAGGACATGGAAGTCGACGTCAGTTAGCTTGCTGCTGCATGCGGATTTGGGCTTTTTGCATATTTGCGCGGGCTTTGATCAGCAAGTCTAGGTACTTCCGAACGGAAGCGGGAGAGCAAGGGACGTCTATGTCGGCAGTCTGTGGCAAAAGGAGATCAGCGAAGATCCGTGCTTTCTCTCCACCATGATGTAGCTCGAATGGTGTGACGCAGATCGCCAGGTGCACCGAAGTGTTATAGGCGAACTCGATGTCGGGAAGCCAGTCAACCCAATCTTTCTGGTCGGGACGGATAAGCGTACGCAACATCATCTGAGCGGTCTGGTGCGCTCGCTCCGTCTGACCATCTGTCTGCAGGTGCCGAGCCGAGCTCGGCTTCATTGTCGTACCGGACTCAGCCATGAGGGAAGTCCAAAAGGCCGACATGAAGCGAGTATCTCGGTCGCTCACTATGTCTTCTGGAACACCCTGGTTGGTAATCCAACCGGTGTGCAAGAGTCGTGCGAGCTCAGGCGCTGCAGCATGATACTTGCAAGAAAGGAAGCGAGCATACTTGCTCAAACGGTCAACAACCATGAGAATACCGTCATGGCCATGCCGATCGCGGGGGAACGGGCCTGTCACGTCCATAGCAATGGAGAGGCGTGGTGCCCGAGGAATTGGCAATGGTTTCAGTTCGCCGAAGGGGACTCGAGATCGACCTTTGTTACGATGGCAAACTGCACATGACTCAATGTACCTCGTGACGTCATGAAGGACGTCGGGCCAGTGAAAACGCTGGCGGAGGCGTGCTAATGTGCGGTTCACGCCAAGGTGTGCCGAAAGTCATGCGTCGTGGAATTCGCTGAGAAAACGAGTCCGTAAGATGCGATCTTGGGGCACAACTAACAAGTCCTTTCCTCTCGTGTGAAGGAGAAGGAACCCGTCGGAAATCCGATAGTGGCTAGCCGGCGGGTGATCCGATGAAAGCTCCGCGTAAAGCGTAGAGTAAGTCGGATCGGACTTGTAGCCTTTGACGAAATGCGGCTGCAGATCGCCCTCGAGGTCGAATGTCGTGGTCACAATGACACACAAATCGGGCCGTCGTGAGAGGGCGTCCGCRGCTCGATTGGCGGGACCGGGAATGTGGGACGGGTCAAAGTCGAACTGGTCGATGTAATACATCCATCGACCGATCGTGCTTGTGACTGTATCCTGCGTTTTGTAAAAGGTCAACGGATTGTTGTCCGTATTCCATTTAAAACGCCGACGGTCGAGAAGAAAGTGGCGCCACCGTTTGAGAACGGTGACGAACGCGAGTAGCTCTTTCTTCCTAGCGTCGTCGAGAGTGTTGACGAGAGGCACCTTTTGGGAGAAATACTCGACCGGATGCCAACCGTC